GTGGCCTGGCAGTCTTCCTGCATGTAGGTATCTAACGCCTGTGGGGCTGTCTTATTCTGCCGTCGTTTTGTTCTTTTCCCTTACGGTTGCTGTCAGTCAGTTCATTCAGTCAGTCACTTAGTGCGTCGGTCACTCGTTCAAAAGTCAAGTCATTAGGTTCATCTCGCAGACTGCGGACCAAATACCAGGGGAGAGGCGCAAAGTTGAGCCCCAACCCACAAGATATAAATAAAGCTGCAACCACCCTTGCCCTCCCACCGTCCCCTTCCCGTGCCGTCTCTCCACCCAGATCGATCTGCTTTGACAGATGCTCGTCCCTCTACCAGAGCATACGCACATACAGACAGACACACATACATACATACGTACATCCAACTGAGCTACAAGGGTGAGAGAGGGTTATGCGTCATTCCGTCCATGGTACTCGTACTGCATGAACAGCATAAGTGCTTGATCAGCGTGCCAACCCATACCGCTCTGTACCGCACTGTTCGTTGCCGTCTCTTTTGCCTCCTCACCTCAGGCCATACCCATATCCATATCCATACTCCCGCATATCATCACACCCTGCACATTTGCAGCCCCACGCAAAGCAAGCAACCCCAGATCGAGGCGGAAAAGGCACTAGTGGGCTGCGCACAGGAAGACCAGGAGGGAGCTGGGAGACGACCGGAGCGGCGAGGTTTGCCCCAAGCGTGTGTTATTAGACAGACCAGACTGGGGTTCCCGGGGCCCGTGGTCCCTTGATACCACGATCCTGTCTTATAGGACTTGGATATCTACCTTGCTTCACGGCCGCTGTCGAAGAACCATCTTGCTCATCTTCCAACAAGGGCAGCATCTAGCAAGCCCTTTGCTCGTCCAAGATATTGCAAGTCATGGCTTACCCCGGCCACCCTGCTGGCAGATCGTTTCAACAACCTCAGGTATTTCATCCTTTGTTCTCTAGCTTCCCTTATTCGATCCCTCCTTATCCCAATCCTCCCGTCATTTCAAGCCCACACTCTCGATTCATCATGCCAGTCCTGGGCATTGACACTCGTGCTTATTATCAGCCTTTTACGGGGACCCAGTTCGATGTCCTTGAGTGGTATCCTCACTTCCAGTCCTGCGCCCGCTACTTCCTCGAGCATGCACAGTACTCCCCGCCTGTGCAGGCAGCGGCAGCTTTCATCAACATTCAGTTACCATTCCAGAAGTCGAACTATCAAATTGTCCAATCTCAGCCGGCCACCGGCCCTCTAGCAGGGCCCCCTGGCCTGGCCGGGCCGTCCCGATCGGCTGGAGAGAGATTGGGGCCCGGGATCCCGCCCCGCGGTCAGGCTTACGTGACTCTGATACCGTATGTCCGTCGGCTGGTAGCCACGGGGTACGACCACCCAGGGGTGATGCACAGTTTCTTTGGAGACGACTGGGTAGCGGGGATAGGGCCGCTGCACGAAACAGAACGACGCAATTACCTCTTCGCGGCCAAGAGCGAGAACTGGCTCAAAGTAAAGGCAAGCTACGACATGGGCGAGGAGCAGACAGTACCATTTCTACGGCCGCTGCAGAACGTCACGGAGGCGGAAATCGTGGCAGCCGAGTTGAGCTGGAGCGAATGGCTTGCCATGGGGGATTGGATGCTGGGGCCGAGGGCACTCGATGTTGAGACGGGACACAGAACGCAACGGCCGGCTCCAGTCGAACGAGACGAAGATTGAACATACACGAAACTCGCCATAAGATAAGGGGGCCATGCTGAAACAAAGACACCTGATCTTGCTAGGAGAGAACTTTCTTCTCTCACGGCCATCAATGGCAAAAGGGCTTGGCCGCGAAAATCTCTTAGCATGTTGGCAGGGAGCAGGGACAAAGCTAAGGCGTAGGGCAGGATAGGGGCTTGCTGGTCCTGGGGTTAGCATCGCGTTGGGATATCTGAATTGGCATGCGGGTAGAATTGTTGACTCTCTCTTTCTCTCTCTTTTTCTCCTGGGTGGTTGCGCTGCGTATCATCTAAGCTATGACCCGGGCAGCTACCACTCCAGCCATTGGACGGTGTTATGACATTCGATGCTGTTGGGATCTACAGCACTGATAGCATCATAGCATCCAAATCATTCTTTCTGGTAATCGCACATCGGACACCAGCACAAACCACGTTTACAGGTCTACCTACTACTTCGGACGTCACTCGACAGGTGTCTAATCTTTCGCTCGCCTGCCTTTTTTTTTTTCTTCTTTTCCAGGGACCATGCATGGAACCAAGGTGCGCAGATGAGGCTTACAAGAGCTCGACTATCTCGCCTTGTCCTGCCCTCCCGTGCCTTAGCCATCTGCGCCTACCCGTCTTTCCCCCCCCTCTCTCCGCGTGCGGTGCGGCCGTTTCAAGGAGGCGGTGACCCAGTTTTGCTAAAGATCGTCAAGGGCCGCTGAGCTGATCTAAGCTTGGGGGAGGGGGGAACAGACCACCCGCCCGAGGAAACGTCACATATCTCTTGATAGTTAGCACACGCGCACGAGACAAGCCACCGTTACACGACCTCGTCGACCTGGGAGCTGGGAGCTGGGAGCGCACACGTTCTCCCGAGCAGGATCCCCGAGGACCAGTCATCCGGGCCCCCCTTATGGGGCCACCTCCCCGAGACCATCCGAAAATCATCGGGTTTTTTGCTTCGTGGACCTCGGTCATCCTTGTCAGCCAGCCCGGTCAGTCCATGCAGCATGCGGGCAACTTTTCTGGGGCTTCATGTTCAGTTGAGAAGTGAGTGGCCTCTGTTTCTCTACGGGGTGGGGGCCTTGAGTGGGAATCTGCTCCTCGAGGGCACGATCACCATCATCAGGTCGAGGCTCAAATGGCCGGGGCCCAGTGCCAGGGGAGGGCGTTGGATGGATGGAGGGATGGAGCGGCCACATCTGGTTCCGCTCTTGTGACGGTCGGTCTACTTGCTTGTGCAGCAATGTCTGAGCGTGTGCATGCGCATGGCATCGGGGTTAGAGAGGAGGCGGGAAAAAAAAAGAGATAGATCAGGTGAAGTGTCTTCTGACTTTTGACTTCGGGGTTTGAGCGACAAGGTATAAGCCGCCTACTGGGGGCCGTGGGGAGAGGGAATCCCCATGCAGACGGAAAGAGAGACAATTGGATTGTGGAGCTCCGTCGAAAGCTCAACGCCAGATACAACGCTGGGAATAGAGGCAGGTGATAGGAGGGACTCTAGCACGGACAAGCACTCCGGCAGCAGCTCCGGGCAATATTAGACGCTGATCAGTCAGTCGATTCAGAGACATATTTTGCGGCGAGTGCAGCTCGCTAGGCACACTCGAGAGGGTAGTAGTGAGAGATGTGATGGGATGTGATGGGATGGGATGGGTTAGGTTAGCTTAGATTTGGCAACCTGTCAGTGTCAATCGACCTGAAGTGAGGTTAGTTCGGGTTTGCTGACATTGGGTACCGGGGTAGTGAAGGTAGCATAGCCTCTTGAGTGCGTGCCTTGAATAGCTATCTAATTAATACACAGTAACTACCTCAACTACTCTTCATTAAGCATGGTAAATCTTCAGGTCTCCGTGTCTGGTGGGCCGCGTTGGGCCTCTAGACCTGTCTCACTCAGCTCGCTACTCTCTCCTGAGGTGTTTGCCATGCAGAGCTGTCACTTTTCTGTTTTTCTGTTTGGATTGACCGTCTGTCTTGTCTGTGAGTGGTTTAGCTGAGGTTGTTAGGTAGTCTTAGAGTCTGTCTATTGAGGGTTGAGGATGAGCGGCAGGCATACTACCTAGGCACCTACTAGGGACCTACCTACTATGTAGGTACTGTGCAGTAGAGGCTAAGTTGCCGAAAGGAACCTACCCTTGTCCGCCTGTGCCTGTCAGTTTGTCAAGTGTGTGTGTGTGTGTGTGATCCGCCAACCACCCCCGGTCCCCTGGCATTGGAGCTGCCTTTCGGGCGGTTAGGTGTCCTAGGTGTCTTGGTCTGGCAGGTCTGGGTACCTCTCACTGCGCACTTAGGTGGCATGGCCATGTATTGGTGCGGTAGTCTTGGTCGGGAGGGGTGTCTGATTGCCCCTTGCGAAGTCCGCCATGTCTCTCGCTCGGCAATTTTCCGCCTAGCGAAGGGTAAGGTACTTCAGAGTCTAGGCCCTTCGCCTTAGAGCTTGGAGCCCCTCTTGCACCCAGCCACACTTCACTAAAGCAAACGGTGGAGGGTGCCGTACCTGAAGGTACCTCCTTCGCTCTTTCTCTCTCTGAGTTATGATCGCTAGGAAAGGAAGGAAACTAACCCGCAACTGACCTGGCCTAACAAGCTACCCAAGGTACGGTCACTCGGCACAAGCCGACTTCACAGCTTGCTACAGTAGGACTACCCGCGCGCGCACGCAACAAGCTTCCTCCCTCACCTTAGCTCAGCTATCTACGACTGCGATCCTGTCCCTCATCCAGCGTCTGTCTGCATCTGCATCTGCGCGTGCTCTCATCCGCCCTCGTCAGGATTGACCATCCTACCTGACGCTGACGCTGACCTGACCTGGCCTCGCCTGTTCTGGCCTGACCTGGCTGGTCTCTTCACCCTGCCCGCCCGCTCGCTTGCTCGCTTCTCACCTGCGTGCGCCAGCTTCCTCCAAGCTGCTGCTCCTCCAAACTATAGCCTCACTCGCCCACTTAATGACTCCACAGGCTCGTTCTCTTTCGTGGGGTTTCAGCTTCTCCGCCTCGTGTCGACCCAGTTGGGGCCCGCTCATCACCTCGCTCAATTGATAGCCAACGTCCTCTCTCTTACGCGCGCACATCCGTCTACCGTACCCTGGCCCCGTCTGTCTGTCCAGCCATCTATCCGTCTACCCGTTCGGTATCTCGTTCATACTTGGTTTCCGTCGTCGTCAGCAATATTGCCATCTCAGTCTCCACATCGGCGCGTCTCGACCTACCTGTCTACCTGACTACTTACATCAGGTGCTCGTATCTGACCACCCCTACTACCGTTACCGTCTGTGCCCGTGCTGTCCTGGCATGCCGTCCCACCCGCGATGGACAGCCTCGCGAAGCTGGGCGGCGGTGGAGCTGGCGTTGGAGTAGGAGGAGGAGGAGGAGGAGGCATAGAGATGGGACTGGGAAATGGAACGATACCGCCGGCTGCCGGTCCGGCATCAGCCTCGGCCGCGGTGCTGGCTGCCCGCGAGCAGCAGTGGGTGCGGTTCTTCGCGCACGCCATTGCCTCCCGCCTCGAGCCCGAGACCTTTGCGCAGTATGTCCCGCTGCTGGCCGCTAAGCACCCGCTGCCCCCGACTGCCATCGCCGACCTCGTCCTGCGGCCCACCCCAGGCAATACAGACACCCTCGACCCCCGTGTGCCGAAGTATCTGCAGTCCCTGTTTGAGCTGCGCATCGTGGACGTACCCGCTGTGCTGAGGGGCCTCTATCGATATAGCACGAGCCATGCGCAGTCGGGGTCCCAGGGCCATGATGCCGACGGCAAGCCAAAAGACGGAGCGGAGCATGCCAATGGCGACAAGAAGCAAGACGGAGAGAGACGCACGGAGGAAGGTAGCGTGCCCAAGTGGACAAGTAGCTACAGCGCCGAGGAGGTCATCTTCTATCGCCTGACTAAGGCCGTTGCCCAAGGGGCCGGTATCAAGACTGCGCGGGATGCTACTGAGGTGGCGGCTGTAATGGCACGATGGATGAACCTTTTCACGGCTGCTGCGACGGCCTTCGCTGAGGATGTCATGGGCCAGCTGCATAGTCCGCAGAATCGCGAAGAAATGGAGTCTGCAAGAGCTGCGTTTGTCCTGCTCCTTTTGAGAGTCTGTGAGAACCCGGTCATGCTAACGGCCCTCAGCGAGCCGTTTGCCAAAGCTCCGCGGGCCGCACTCTCAGAGAGCCTCGCAAACTTCGTGCCGTCGATCCTGCAGAGCGCATCCCAGATAGCAGCTAGGTTGGAGCTATTTCGGACGCAGACTCTGGCTGGGTTTGAGCCCGTCGACAAGAAGAAGGAGGCCGCCAACGCGGAAATCGACGATCTCCTTGATTCAACAATGGGTCTGGAGAACTTTGTCATCCCAGAACTACCCATCACCAATACCCGTGCTGGGTTATATATCTATCTCAATGCTTCTGTAAGTGGACCTAGGTGCCCGAAAAGCCAAGATGTGGCTTGACTAACGGTCCCCAGTTGGTTGGACGGCCTTTGATCGATGATTCTGCTCTTATAAATTACCTACATAATAGATATCAGGTGGGCACTCTTCTATGCTGATACAAATGAGCGCTTCTAACTTCTTCAAGGGTGACATCCAGACAACTGCGAATGATCTCATATTGGCTTCTTTCGACGTCCTTGCAAACGCTGTTTTCCGCAATGAAGGACAGAAAGCGGCACACCTTTTGCGATCATATTTAATCAACAAGGTGCCTTTATTGTTGGCATCCTTTGTGGGCATGCAATCGCCCATGTACCCTTTTAATCCCGAATACTGCATCACCCAAGCGCTCAGCCAGGTTGACACTAATGCTTTCCCAACGCTGTCGTCAATGTTTGATGTCACTAACACGAACAACACATTCACGGAATCTGTAAGACAAGATTTCTGCTTCGCGTGCTGCCTACATGGCCTGGTCCCTGAAACGAGCATCGAGAGACTGCTCGGCGAGATTACGTATCAGACCTTGCCTGCTGGCGGCCGATATAACAAAAATCAACTGGTCCAGGAGTGCATAGCGGATCACGATCGGATGTACAGCCTCATCGGAGAATTGGATAACATGGATGGCAATGTTGGGGCAGTCTGCCAGGCTTTGACAGAGGTATGGCGCCCTGGTAACCGATTATTTCTTCCGATCGGTGCTGACATCTGCAGATGATCGCCCGGCTCTGCAACGAGAAAGAGACAATGTCTCTCAAAATGCTATGTAGCCAACTCGCGCGGAAGCCTTTAGCTCTTGATGTGATGTTGCTCTTTGACAAACCGACAACCATCCTGCATCCTCTTTGTGAGCTTCTGGATAACTGGAGGTATGAAGAAGACCAAGGCGAGTATCAGCCGGTTTACGAGGAGTTTGGCTCGATACTACTTCTCCTTCTGGCATTTGTATACCGTTACAGCCTTTCTGCCTCGGATCTAGGCATTCGTTCGCCCGAGTCTTTCGTAGCAAAGCTCCTCAGCAAGGGTCATCTTAGTAGACCACTAGAGGACCTGTCAGACCAGGAGAAGAGCCATCTAGACGGCTGGATACATGGCCTTTTTGACACAGAGGCTGGTGGCTTGGGTGACGAACTGATGTCATCCTGTCCGCCGCAAGATTTTTACCTGCTAATCCCCACACTATTTCACAACATCGTCCTCGCTCTCAGCACTGGCTATTTAACTGAGGATAGTCTGAAGAGCGGTGTTGAATGTAAGTTTGTACCCAAACTAAAAGGGTCCGGTCCCATAGCTGACATCCGGCTAGATCTTGTGGACACATTCCTATTGCCGTCTCTTGTCACGGCAAACATGTACCTGTCAGATTGTTTATGGGCCGACGGCCCTTCCGAACAGAAGGCTATCGTTAAAGTACTGCAGCTGATTCTGCAGCCTAATCAAATATCGAATGAGGCATCAACGATGCTTTCATCCGTTCTAAATATTGTAGCTAAGCCACTGGAGCATTCGCTACGGACATATCAGCGACAAGACCCCAAAAGTCAGGAGGTCGAGCCTCTGCTAAGAGCCCTTAAGGAGAACATACAATTATCAAGACGCACAGGCGGCGCTGATCACAACGAGCTCGAAAGCTGGACCAGCACTGCCAATGGGGGGCTGACGGCCTCTGTTAGGCACACTATTCAAAATCTGGTACAATGGGGACTTCATCCCGGTATCAATGTCATGCCTACTTCATACACACATCGACAGATTCTTGTAGGCTTGAAACTTTTGGGGGCGAAGCGAATGCTGCACATTATTGTGGAGGAGATGAAGCAACTTACGGAAGCAGGAAGCGGAAGTGTGGCGTACGATGTTGGGACAGCACTCGTTTGTGCCCCAGATGTCACGAGCGATGACCAGCCGCTCACTATCTCACTCTTGGATGAGTCGGGTAACGTCCCGGCATCACCACAACGTCGCATATCTCTAAGAGAGGCGCTCAAGTGGGAAGCGGAAGAGTGGAAGAAGATTCAAAAGACCGACCCCGTCATGGCGGAGACTGTTGTGCGCCTCTATAGAAAGGTCGAGGCGCAGATGGTTGTTACCCAGGCACCCACCGTACTTCAGACAGAGCTGGGCACCCTCGAGGGCGCGGCTCTTGATGATGCGATGGCTGCGGCTGCGGCTGCTGCATCAGCGGTGCCCGATGATGCCATGACCATTGACACCACCGGCATGGGCCTAGGTCTGGGTACCGGCGGGGGAGATCTAAGCCTGGGTGCCTCTTCTGCAAACTCTGCAGGAGGCTTGGACCTGGGTGCAGACAACGATATCTTCAGTGGCCTGGGTTCCCTGGACGGGTGGGACGGGATGGACGGAATGGACCTCAGCTAGAAGCTGTACCAGGTTATTTGAGGCGCTCGTGAATATTTTACAAAGACATTGCATGGGTCAGAACGGTTGTATGGGCAGAAGGCGTCAATACCCCGATGTATCATTACACGGTGTTCTAGGTCATTATAGGCTGTGGGCTACTCCAATGACATGAAAAGCTAAAGCACGTGAAGAGTCTCAGTTTACTCCACCCAACTCCCTATTGTGAATTGTGAGTTACACATGTTCGTCAACTCCCAGTCCTCTGCACCCATGACCCCCTCCATCCCCTCGTCCGCCTTGTTACCACACAGCCCCGCCACAAACATCGTCGCCATGAAGTGGTCGTCCGTCGCGTGCGCATCGCGGTACCGCGGGTGCTTCATCAGGCTCGTCGCCTTCCGCCGCAGCAGCGGCCCGCCCACCCCCTTCCCTCCGCTGCGGATCTCGCGCCCGAAGGCGGCCTCGTCGGCGGGGACGCGCGCGGAGGCGCCGGCGCAGAAGACGTCGACGACCTCCTGGCGGAAGTCGAGGGCCCAGGGCCCCGGGGGCGTGGGCTGGGCGAAGTTGTCGCGGTGGCGGACCATGGGGCCCCAGACGTTGCGGTAGAGGTTGTGGACGCTGCCGCCGGAGCCGACGAAGAGGGTCCGGTGGGCGGCGAAGTCGGCGCGCAGGGGCCGCAGCGCGGCGCCGACGGCGGCGTGGAAGTGCGGGTCGTAGAGGCTGTTTGTGCTGACGATGGTGGTGGGCGGGCAGCCGGCGGGGAACATGCGCACGAGCACGAGGTACGTGTCGTGGATCCAGTCAAAGGTCGGGTCTGGCCGCGAGGGGATCCCCGCTGCGGAGAGGTGCGCCTGGATCGTGGGGATGAAGTCCAGGTCCGGGTTGAGCTCGTACGACTGGTACTTGGATGGGTGGACGTATGCGACGGGCGATTTGGCGGGCTTGGGGTTTGCGGAGATGAGGACTCCTGGGTCGGACGTCGACCAGTGTGCGCCCTGAGAAGTTGTTAGGTGAGATTCATAGAAGCAAAGACAAGGGAAAGAGAGAGGAACTCACCATCATCACGATATGCTTCACTCCACGCGCAAGTGCTTCGTCGCCACACTTCTTCCAGTAGTTCGCTGAAGCGGACTCTTCACCCAGCATCATCGTCGTGCCGTGCGAGAAGAGGTGCACAGGCGCCGCGGCCGAGTTGGTCTTGCCAACCGCCATCTTGACGGCTGTCTATCTCAATCGCGGTTCGTGTTGCTGAGCTGATCGACCTGCTTGTCTTGAATCAAAGACTCAACACAACAGAGTTGTGCAGGAATTGCAGTGAGGACAGTGGCAGCACGATTAATTAGTTATCGAATACTTCATTCTCAAAGCTGAGTCGTTATCTATCTTTCTCAGCTTACTCCATCTTCTCGCCTTCTCTAGAAAAGTGTGTACTGTAACGGTCATGATGTTGCGCGAGTGGGGCCGAGTCTCACTTACACGGGGAGTTGGAGACCATTCCCCCACCTTTCCGAGCCGCATTGCTTTCCCCACAGAGACTTCGGCAGCGGATGCGGCAGGAGTGGACATGTCTCGGCGACGCTAACGAGAAGCTGGTAAAGTGTGGGTTTTGTCTTAGTGTAGGTTGTTGAAGGTCCAGAGTGATCGGCAGTGGCATGTGTGTCAGTGTTTGCCTCTCGGATGACCTACGAAACTCCGTTGTAGATCCGAGCTGGTGAACTGCTCTTTGCTGCACATCGTGAGCGATACGCGGCCTCCTGAGTGGCGACTGTCACCCTCCTCTTCGAGAGTTTCGACATTGTCCTGATGCTACCCGGCAATTACAAACAACATTCTAAAGGATGAAGCAGTGGGATGCATATTTTATCATGATACTAGGATCTGATTTCACACTTAACTTGAATACCTGGGTAATTGTTTCAACATAGTGGATATGATATAGTACTAGTTTACATGTTATTCCTTAACGCCTCAGCTTCCCAATGTACTCAAACCCTTTTCTTCCGACGACATAAGAAGTCCAACCTACCACCGGTAAAATCGCAGTCAAGGCGATGCTTGCTCCAAGTAAGAAACCAGATTCAAAAAAGCCAGTAATCTCATTCTTGGGTTGCCCAGTCGGCTTCAAGGGCTTCACTACTAGTGACCGGAGGCTTGACGTGGACACCCCTTTCGACCCAGCCAACAGCTCTTCAGCCTTCTTGAAGGTTTCTGAAGGCGGTTCTACAAACTGCGGACGAGGCACGCTGAACATTTCTTTGGTATACCGATAGTACAAATCCGGCGTGTGAGCAGTTGGTGCTGCTGGTCCAGCGAGAAGCTGCACGGGTATCTGGTTGATGCAGGATATGTGACAGGGGATGTGTTGCGAGAGATATTTCGCGGACTCCGGTTCTGCAAAGAAGTATCCTGCCAACAATGGGTCTCTACACAAGACGTTAGTGGATTGACGTTGCTCTTTACTAAGTTTACGAGGTCCTTACTCAAACTCTTGTCCGAATGCAGCATCCACCAGACCTGAGCAGGTTGCTATCGGCAAATAGCGACCACTGATCTTCATATTTAAGAGCGGATTGTTCCTGTAGACTGATTAATTATTATGTCTTTGTAAAGATGGAGTATACCCACTTGTCGAGAATGTCGACCAGTTTGAAGTCATTTGAGCCAAAGCTCGATACCTGTCTTCTATCTTCCGCGTCCTTGACAGCTTTTCTAGTCGCCTCATTCTGATTACCACTTGTTTTCTTGATCGTACTCTCCTTTGCAAATGATAGCGTGGCATATTTGGAGCAGGCCTCGAAGAATTCCTTCTTGGCAAACTCGTTGATCAATACTAGATCAGGTGCATATGGTGAAGTACCGCCAAAGCTGAATCTAGCCTTTGCGATTGCCTTTGCAGCCTCCTCGATGTTAGCTGTCCGGTCGACAACAGCTATTGCCCTAGCCTTGCTCGACGAGAGAAGCTGATTGGTAAGAGTGGCGCGAGGGCCACTGGCAGTCTGATCCACCAGTATGCCAGTGTCTAATATTGACTGGTCCGTAACCGTTTTGGTAATACAGAACGTATTGAAGTCGAGCGCTTTGAGCAGGAGAGACCGGAGAACCGAGTCTATTTGCGATATGGTGTCCGATAGCTGCAGGTGGTGTTAATGACTGAAACAACTGTCAAATCTCATTTGAGTGCCTACTTCAAGAATGACGCAGTTTCCAGCAGCAACGGCAGCAGCAAGCGGCGTGATAATGGAGTAGAAGCGTGTATGGCTTGTCGGTCGAATGATGACTATGCCCACTCCCAACCGCCTTTCTTCGTTGTTCCTCCCGTGAACAACAGAGTATTCCTTTGCTAATTCTTCGTCAAAATGTAAGCTCTCGTAGGCATGTCTGACAGCTTCCAATGCAAGATAATACTGGGTTTCTGCTTCCGCGCTGCTCGATTTCGTGTCCGTAAGAAGTGCGCTCACAATGCTTGCCGCCGCCTCTCTCAAAGCTTTGTGTAGGGCTTGGAGCTGATCTTGTCTATATCGAACATTGTCCGCGCGACGGTCAGTGGCAGCTAGCTGCAGTCGTTCGAGAGCGAGGTCTTGAGCCGATGCCATTGTGAATGATTATGGTGGCAATCTCAGGAGACTCAGGAACAGCAACAAGAAGGGACCAAGAGATCAATGTGAATTCTATTCAGCTCACCATCTTAGAAACTGACTTTGTAGTCTCCAAAAACAAACGTTCCGAGCCGAGCTTCATGAATCTAGAGCTCTTCGGCATGCGACCCTGGCTAAGGCCTGTCTTACACGGGAGTGGCAGCGGGGGGTCGGAATGTGGGGTGTAGCACTACACCTGGCAGGTCATACGAGAAGATCTGCGAACATCAGATCGCCTCAGGGCCAATACGTCGTACTTACGGTAAGATAATTCCTATTCAGTAGCTGTGTTCCTTTCTTGCGGCTCAGTCACGGCGCAGACTCCATTCGTTGCGGCAAACCACTTTGCACTCGATTTTGACTACTATTCTCTTCTCACCTGAACCTCCTGGAGTCAGTTCAGCAACACGACACAAAATGTCTGTAACAACGACGGACAATCCACTCACAACTACAATCCGGCAAGATTATCTACAGGATTATAACATTCATTTGAGCGGCGGCGAGCAGTCGCGCCCGCTGGAGCCGCCCAATAGCGACAACATCCCGCCGCCGGTCGAGAATCCGCCCGACTGGGACGACCAGCATCGCGAAGTCCCTCCATACAGACCGGTCAATACACAATTAAGTCGAGAGCAGCGGCCATGGGGATCTAACGGCGTGGAATCTGCATTTGTATTCACCATGCTACATGGTGTTTGGTTGACAGCTGTAAGTGACCTTTGTGCCACTCAGAGATATAGTGCGCATTGATAATAACAACCTAACAGACTGCATCATGGGTATGGAGGAAGACAGGAGGAAAATGGAACGATCAGTATTTCAGATACAAGGTAGGCGGAGAAATCTGAAGGAAATTGTGTTGTCCACGGTTTGCGGTGGAAGACGAGCTACAGCGTCGATGAATAAGAGCAAGACAGCCATATTTTACAGTGCCAGTCTTGTGTTACAAGAAGCAATTCACTTAAATATGTAGATTGCAAACTGCAAGTGATGTCTGTTATTTTTGTTTTGTTTTGTATTGTATGTTATGAAAGTCTGCTGTTACGCACAAGATCTGAAGCAAGCGTTGTACCAGTGACAGAATCAAATCTTATCAGTCAGGACACATGATAATCGAAAACACACCAAGTAAATGAACACCTTTGAAACTCAAAGAAAAGAAGCACATCGGCTCCGTACACTCGGTCTACTAGGCTCATCATGCATCAGTTATTGAAGCTCTACCATTCCCCGCCCCCACCTTCCGCCGGCCGAGGAGCACTCGGAGAAGTTCCTGGTATTATACAAGCAAGCTACAGGAGCTTAGAAAATATGCTTGGGCAGGCATTCGGGACGAGAAGTTTCATTTACATTCGAACCTGTAAGATTTGCTATCAAAATGGATGTTAAAACACCCCCTATCAAGGACATCCAGTCCGTCACGGAGGATAAGGAATCCGGCCTTACATTCATGAAGAACGTATCGATTCCTCTGAAAGCCTCTCCACTACCTATACGTGCCAACGTATATATTCCTCTGTCCACAGACCCCAGCGCCAAATACCCGGTTCTCGTCACTTACGGGCCGTATGGAAAGGATATTCCGTATGAAAGATTCCACAAAGGTTCTTTTGATGAGGTCAACCCGGAACACCGGTCCAAGTACTCGGCATGGGAGACTCCGGATCCTGTCTATTGGTGCCGGGAAGGGTATGTGATTGTCCGTGCCGATGAGAGAGGTCTCGGTCAGAGCCCTGGGCTGCTGGACACCATGAGCAGGGGCACAAGTGAGTGCTTCTTCGATGTAGTGGAATGGGCTGCTGAGCAGCCGTGGTCTTCTGGAAAAGTTGGACTTTTGGGCATATCCTACTATGGCGGATCGCAGTGGCGCGTGGCGGCAAGACGGCCGAAAGGCCTGGCTGCTATAATCCCCTGGGAAGGCATGTCTGATTATTACCGGGACCGATGCCGGCATGGTGGGATCCTCTCGAACAAGTTCATCGGTTTCTGGTGGAACCGGCAAGTGCTCGTAAACCAATACGGCAAGGCTGGCAGATCAAAGCTTCAGTTCCCGCCAGACGGACCAGGCGCTAGGGGTCAGGAGGACACCATCGAAGGTGATCTGCCGGATGAAGTCCTAGTAGCCAACAGACGCGACCAGACTAAAGACAACGAGGAGAATCGATTTCGCGATGATGAGTACTATGCTAGCAAGGAGTATCGTCTTGAGGATATTGAGGTACCACTCCTCAGCGTTGCGAATTGGGGCGGTATTCTGCTCCACCTGCGAGGCAATGTTGAAGGCTATACACACGCCGGCTCTAAGTTCAAGTACCTGCGCTTCATCACGGGACGCCACGATCTCCCATTCTACTACCACGAGGAAGTCGAGCTTCAGAAGAGCTTCCTGGATGCCTTCCTAAAAGGACAGGACCGGGTTGGCTGGAGTGTGCCGGGCAAGGTGCCTCCCGTGACTCTGACATTAAGAAAAGGAAACGTTGGCTTCAACGATTCTGAAAAGGAGAAGGCCTTCCCAAAGCGAGATGAGAGTGCATGGCCACTGCCGAATACTCAATACACCCAGTTCCATCTCCATCCCGACCAGAAACTTACGACAAGCAAACCGAGCAAGGAATCAAAAACCATATCCTATAAAGCCCTTGGTACTTTAGATAGTCCTCAAGCCGTGCAGTTCACAACGGCGCCCTTTGAAGAGGATACAGAGATCACAGGTCATCCATTGGCTCACTTGAATGTCTCCGTCACACCGGAACATAGCGAAGGAGAGAGCGATATAGATCTCTTCCTCTCACTGAGACACATAGACCCAGCTGGGAAGGAAGTCTTCTACACAGGAACGGCTGGCGATCCTGTGCCACTTTGCAAAGGTTGGCTGAGGGCGAGCATGAGAAAAGTCCACGATCAAAATCCGAAGCACCGACCGTGGTTGCCGCACCGGGAGTACCTGTCGACAGACGTCCTTCCGGTCAAGGCTGGGGAGATCTACCCGGTGGACGTGGAGATCTGGCCCACGAACGTAGTGGTGGAAAGGGGAGGCAAGCTCATATTAGAGGTTGCGAGCGGTGACACGCAAGGATCTGGAGTCTTCCAGCATAATTCTGAAGTTGACAGGTATGTGCATTGTATCAAGGATTCCCGGCCAACTGACTGACGATCGTAGACCTCCGTCGAAATTTGCGGGGTTAAATCACATACACTTTGGAGAGGATAGAGAAAACTACCTGACTTTGCCTATCATTCCCTCAAAATAGATATTGTCGCAATCAATGTAAGCCAGATATCGCAAGGCAAGTTGAGGTGAGGAATCACTTGTCTGTAGCTGCCAATAGACTGAATTGAAAAAGTGTTATGGTTATCTATCTTAAAACTCGACCAGCTGAAGAAGCCATCTTCTGTCGATTCTCTTCGGAACAGTGACTTCTCCATGGTTCTAGAGCTCTGCAATTGAGAGTCCAGAAGCTTTTTGTTTTGCATGATTGGTGGAAGCAAGGGCGGGTCAGGGCTGGAAGCCTTTGAAGCTAAGGAGTGCTGTGGAGGTAAGAGACAGATAAGGTAACATTGGAATTCATTTCGATGAGGCTGGAATTAACGTCGAGACGCTAAGGGAGAACCCCAGTCGGCGGTGGCGCAGAAAGCTGTCGGAAGGCCACATTGCAACGCACGCACACCCACCACACACACACGAGAGCAATTGGGGTAACTAACCACCTTTTTCCCGACAATATCTCATCGGCCACTTTTGGATGCTTCATCCCCCGTACACCTGAACTCTCCTTCTTTCTTCCATCTCCTTTTCGCCCGCCGCCTCTCTTGTCCAGCATCATGGCGTTTCTGAAGTTCTCGACTCTTGCTCTCCTGGCTCTCCGTGTCGCCTCGGTCTTCGCGCAAGTTGACGTAAGTTAATGCTTCCTTAAGGGTCCAAGTCGAATACATCGCGAAAAGCAGCTCCACATCCTGCAATTGCCACAGTTGTATCGCAGCTGCTGACCGTGCTTCTCTACATCAGCCAGATGACTTGACCACCTCCGCCCAAGCTCCCGAGCTCAAGGTTGACGTTACTACGACATTCCCCGACTCGGACATCTTCGGCGTGAAGCTTGTCAATGGCCGCGCTACCAAGGCCGTTGTCGAGGTGAAGAACCTCGATGACGAGCCTGTCACCGTTGCCTTCATTGGAGGGATGCTGTCGACCACTCAGCCCTTGCCCGAAGATGCCCCGACCATGGCTGGCGTCCTCCGCAATCTGTCCGCTGTGAGCTACGATATCAGCATCCCTGCTGGAGAGTCTCAGAACCTTCCCTTCCAGTTCCTTCTCGACATGCAGCCTCAGGATGTCAAGCTTGATCTTCTCGCTGTTATCAGCAATGGCAAGGGCCAGGTCTTCCAGATCCAAGCCCACAGCGGCACCGCCAGCATCGTTGAGCCTCCTACCAGCATCTTCGACCCCCAAATGTACGTTTCTCTTCCGACTCGCTCCAATTGACTTGCTAACGGCCCACAGCATCTTCCTCTACCTCTTCCTGACTGGTCTCTTCGGAGCTACCTTGTACTTCGTTTATAAGACGTGGATCGAGGCTCTCTTCCCTCAGGCCAAGCGCACCAAGAGCACCAAGACTAAGAAGGTCGTGGAGGTCTCCGAGCCCCTCTCAGGCTCCGAGTCCACTGGCGTCACAACCGGCGCCTCCAAGGACTACGACGAGGCCTGGATCCCTGACCACCACATCAACCGCCCTGTCGCCAAGCGCGTCAAGAGCAGCGCCAGCGCCAAGTCCAAGACCAGGGTCGTCGAGTAGACTTGCGACTCACACCCGCATCCCCGAATTATCCCTCTGCGAAAAGAACGGAGCAAGAAATTCTTGTCAACATCTACGTGTTACAACATACATGCCTGGGACAGGCAAAAATTGGGCGGGGTGGTGGTGTTGGAAATTGAGGGCGGGCAAAAAATGAAGCATAGCAAGAAGCGGCCGTGGATCGCGGCGCGGGGACTTTGTACAATATATAAAAGTTCAATGCAATGGCTAATTTTTCGTCGCAGTGCTAATGTATGTACAGCTTCAGAATTATGTGCAGTGTCCAACTTTTACCCAATCCCCCCTGACGAAAGCTCCTTACGATGCGGCTGCGACCATCGGCGTCGCGGTGGGGGCGTCCATGGCCTTGGTCTTCTGCAGGGTATCATAGTTGCGCTTCATGGCGGCCTCGGTGAACTGGCTGCCCGTCACCATAGGGTACTTCTTCTGGGGGCCTTGGATCTCGCAATCAGTGTTGGGCTGGTTGAAGAACGCCAGGCTGTAGCGGGGACCGAAGTAGTCGACTGCCGGGTCAGTGGGCGTCTTGACGCGGTGGAAGGTCGACTTGAAGCGGTCATCGCTCCACGACATGAGCAGATCGCCACTGTGAGGGGGTTAGCACCTTGTTCTCAAGTGTCTGGAGATAGCAGTGCGCTGAGTTTGCCTTACATGTTGCAGACGATCTCACCGGCTGTGGGCTCGACCTTAGTCCAGGTGTCACCGATGCCATATTCGGTGAAGACTTCCCGGCCGGGGCAGATCTCGAGGCCGCTCTGGCCCGCGCGCTGGAATAGGAGTGTGAGGAAGTCCCAGTCAACGTGCGCTCCGGCGCGGTAGTAGCCCTCGGGCGTTGGCACGGAGGGGTCTACGGGGAAGTAGTGTAGGGCGCGCAGGACGGTCTGCGTGTTGGGCCGAGTGACGTTGTGCGCCTTGATGAAGTAGTCGTCGGGGAAGCCGAGGCCGCGCGCGAAGCACACCATCAGACGCTCCGAGACGCCCTGCACCTTGCGCATGAAGGCCAGGCTCTGCTCGCGGAAGCCGGGGATGACGTCCTCGGGCAGCCACAGCCCGTCCATGTTGGAGCCGAACTGCATCTGGTAGCTCTCCTTCTGGTCCGCCTTGCCGGTGGAGGGCCGGATCTGCGCGTTCTTCTCCCACCCGGCGTTGAGGTGGCTGAAGGGCACGGTGGCCTTGACCTCGTCAGGGAGCGAGAAGAAGCGCTCCGCGGCGAGGAACTGGTCTTCAACCTCGTCTACTGAGATTCCGTGGTTGACGAGGGCAAAGAAGCCGTCCGTCTCGGCGGCGGTGATGAGCTCCGTGGTGATCTCATCGATCCGGCTGTCAAAGTCATGCAGGGAGATCTTGGGGATCGTCCGGCTGGAGTAGTTGGTCTTGCTCTGAATGGCCATTTTGAAATTTGGCTAAGAACGGCACTACGCAGGGGAGACGTCTATGTAGGTAGAATAGAGGATTGACTAACAGAGTGCCGGGTATCAAGTAACTTCGAGTCAAAGGCGGCAAATACCCATACAAATATTCAAGTGAAGCTTGTGTTGAAAGAAGGCTAAACCATGGAGATTCTCACGATGGGAACATAATGGGTTTAAGATGAGAGCTGTCTGTTGTTCCCCCATCCACCCAGCGGCGAGTTCCAGCTCACTCGTGGCTATCTGGCCTTCAGAGTGTTAGTCTTTCGGCCGACTTGGCCTTATTTCATTTGCCCTTTCACGTAAGAGCTTTTACTTTTGCGAGGGCGTCTCCGCCAGATTCCGCAAGCCACTGGTTCCGTGAGCCGAGACTGCGTGGGCCCAGGGATTGAGGCTCGTCGCCACTGGTGTAATCTTTGGTATCAACGGTGCTCCCCGCAATCTGAGAATCTGGCGTTTCCCAGGCTACTGGAATAGGCGCGATAGTAGAGGTTGGCTATCGCTGCGTCTCTCGTCCAATGGTGGTTCTTCACGCTGTCTTATCACATCCGGAGCCCGCCGCAACCAACTAACACAATCTGCTCCACTGTAAACTTCATCCTTCAGGACCCATCAGCCCGTCCAACCTCCACAGCATCGCTCTGCTTTGAAAGGCCGGAAGAGCCGCATCATGAAACTGTGAATCATTGTGATGACCTTTTTCTGTGTCATTGCAATTCCAAGTTGCGACGCTGTTCGGCCGAGCCATCGGCGACTTCCACTGATAGAGCATTGCGCGGGGTGCAACCTACCCAAGTGCTGTGATTGAGTGATCACGAGTCGCGTCAACCTTGAAGGTAAACCATCACAGGTCGACGAATGCTGGGGATGTCTGCTACCCTCTTATGTTCCCTGTATAGACCGAGTTTTCATTACCTCACTTTTATGCTCTTGTAATTGCCCCCAATTCTGGGAGATCTGACAACTCAGGTGGATGAGATTCCGTTGTTGTTGGTCTTGCCTACTACATCGTGTAATCACAAGCTGAGCCAAGATGGTAAATACAGACGAGACCGTCCTCCTGACGGACGTAACTATCATCACAGTCGATGTTTCAAGGCGTGTCATACTCAATGGATGTGTACTCATCTCAGGTTCTCGAATCTTACATGTTGCCTCAAAAGCACCTACATCTCTACCCCCTGACACCAGGACCATCTCGCTTCCCGGCCGCATCATAATACCCGGTCTGATCAACACTCATGCCCATCTGGCACAGTCAATACTTCGCGGTTTAGCAGAGGACCTCCCACTGCACTCCTGGCTATGCGACCGCATCTGGCCTCTCGAAGCGTCTTACCAAGGAGATGATGGATATGCGGCTGCCCGACTCACTATAGCAGAAATGCTGCTGTCGGGAACAACATGCTTCCTTGAGGCGATGCTGACCCACGGAAGCGGCGTGGGGAATGTAGCCCGTGCGGTAGAGGAGATGGGCATCCGCGCCTGTCTCGGCAAGCTGGTCAAATTCGTCGAGACGAACCCGGCGCTCGGCGTCACAGATGCTCGGGACCGTGACGTCCATCACATGAGCATCGACTCACTACTCGATGCGCACAAGACACACCACGATTCCTGCGATGGTCGCCTACAGGTCTGGGCTGCGTGTGGGACTCCTCGCGGCGCGCCCCTGGATGGCTACGCAAAGGTCGGAGAGGCGTGCAAGGCGCACGACATCGGCATCACGATGCACTGCGCCGAAGCACCCGGCGACCTGCCCATCTTCCACGATGTGTACAACATGTCGCCCATGGCTTTCTGTCGGGATGCAGGGCTGACGAGCCGCAAGACGGTGCTGGCGCACATGTGCCACCTAGACGGCGAACCGGACCTTGCCATCCTAGCGGAGACGGGGACCAGCGTAGCGCACAACCCGACCAGCAACCTGAAGCTGGCGTCTGGGATTGCGGATGTGCCTGCTATGCTGAAGGCCGGCGTGAGTGTGGGACTGGGGACGGATGGCGCTCCTTGCAACAACTCCTACGATATGCTCCGCGAGATGCATCTAGCGAGCATATTGCATCGGGGTGTGACGCTAGATGCGGGCAGTGTGGGTGCTCACCGGGCGCTCGAGATGGCTACGATAGGCGGTGCTCGAGCCCTTGGTTTAGCGACGGAGATTGGCAGCATCGAGGTAGGCAAGAAGGCCGATCTGGTAGTTCTGGACCTCAGGGGAAGCTGGGCTGCGCCGTGGGATCCGGAGACTGTGCGGCAGGGTGGGCTTGACCCGGTAGATCTGGTGGTTGGCAGCTGTGTTGGGAGAGATGTAGAGCTAGTCATGGTCGATGGTAGGATATTGGTGGAGGATAGAAAGCTTGTTGATATTGATGAGGGCGAGATCATCAAGGCGGCTCGGAGGGCTGTTACAGGCATACAAAGTAGGAGTGGCGTTAAAGCCACGCAAAAAGCCGACTGGACGTATGAATAAAAGTGAAGCCATTCGGATGCCAATGCATAGATTTCTTCGTCCCGATTTCTCATGACAATTTGGCAAGGATAGGGCAAGGGGGCCTTCCAATGCCCCACTCCACCATGCAGGTACGTAGATTTCTATCTGCGAGTGATTTCACTGCAGTTTTAGTGCTACTAGATGCTTGATATTCTGTAAACATGTGTTCTAGACACAATTTAAGCATTCATTCTTCCTTTGCATCAAATAATAGATAGTAGTTTATCAAGGATATCATAAGTTATTCAACCAAATACTTAGTACTTAAATCGAAGTTGGCAGATTCGTGGTATCAAAAAGAACATCTCAAAGCTTTGATCAAGTGTCACGATCCTTGTCACTCAGTATCATTATCCTCGATGTGGTAACTGTTATTATACCTGTGGAGGAGTACGGCATGTGATGTTTACTGTAGCCCGTCTTCATGGAAGGTTCTACCAGAATGGTAGATGTAATCATAGATATATTTTCACATATAGCACTAATTCAGACTCAACAGATCTAAACCCATTCTAAGAAAAAATGCTGATTGTCCAGGGCGCGGCAGGATTGCGTTCGTACGTGAATCGTTATCTGGTTCAAATTCAGGAATGGCACCTTGCTCAGCCTGCTGCATCGCCCTGAACCAGAACATGACTCTCCACATCTCGATCAGCTTGCCCGAGCCTATAGCCTCCTTCAAGACCGGTGCGGCAAGTACAGTCGCCTCAGATATGCGTTGTCTCTGAGCCATGAAGAGCGACCTGCGCTCTCGGATAGGTGGGAGCTCTCGGTGGCCGTGTATCACTTCCCACGAGCGCTCTATCGCCTCTCCGAGCAGTGCCTGTCGGTTTGTTGGATCAAGAACGGCGAGGAACAGAGTGATTAGCACGTTCCAAATACCGGCACCGCAGAAAAGGGATAGTCCAGTGTCGAATGTGTCCATGTTCATCTTTCCGTAGGATGCCAAGTATTTTACGAAATCAGCACGCCATCTTTGACACTGTCGATGCATGTCCCGTAGCTCATCGACCAGGGTCTTGACATCGGGACTGGAGGGATCCAGATCTTGTGCAATGGCGCCGAAAGCGCGCCTTTGAATAGTTGGCATTCTCGCCATGCCAATGGAGTGTTCCTTTGCCAGATATCCTCTCTCTGACAAGGGATCCTCACTGTCATAGATAGAATCGAAGACTTCCCGCCAGGACTCTTCTACCAGAAAGCATGGCTCTGCATTGACCCAGCTCTCGCAAATCTAATGGAAATCATCTAAGCTGATGTGTACATCATTTCGACTATTTCGAGGCATGGAAAGGAAACTTACGAGGGGATAGCAGAGAGCCGTAAGCAGACTCTTCTCAAATCCAGTCTTGAAAGCATCTGGACCTTTCGCCTCGATCAATCGGGCGGCTCCAGCAATATGTTGCTTCCAGAAATGGGGCGTGTCACGGTTGAAGAGCTAGACCTCCATTAATCTGATGCACTGAAACGTATGCGAATGAAATTACCTCGAATATAGCCAGAACATTCGTTGCGCAGAGAACCTCGGGGTCAGCCCACGACGGGCTACTCACGGCGGCCTGGAGGCTTGATAGTGCATATCCATATTGAGCAAGGATGGCAGCCTCCGTAATCGTATTGTTTGGAACGAGAACAGACTTGGCTTTGCTGAAGAGGCAACGAAGGGCAGCATCTAGACATTCAGACTGGCCGTAACGTTGTCCGACAAACGCGAAGTAACTCGAGTCCTCGTCTCCTCTCTGGAAAAACAAGTTGCGAGCTCCCCCTGGGTCATCCCGCACAATATCGCAAACAACGATATTATGATGGATCGTCGTTAGAGAAGACAGATCGTGCGGATAGATGCCGTATGCGCTAATGAGAAGGTCCAGTCCACTGAAAGGCATCATATTGGGGACCTGTGAGTCTGTGTAATTGTATGTCTCTGGAACCAACCCTTGATTCCCAGAAGGTGAGTGGACTAGCGGAGAGTGCACCTCTGGCTGGTGAGACGAAGCTTCTGACCTCCTGCCACGGTCAGGTTTGTTGCGAGTGCTTTTTGTAGGTCCGGTCACTGCATCCTCAGTCCTGTCGCCCACGCTGCCTGAGCTAGACGACTCTTTACGGCAAGCTCGATTGACTGCTTTGGTGGATTGTTTGCGTGCATGGACAACGGACTTCATCGCTTGTCGGCGAATCTTAGTTTTGGTATCTTTAGACAAGTCCGGTTCCTCCAAGCTCTGGACGACGAACTCGAACTTCAAAGGAGCAGCCATTTTGAAAAGCCTTCAACTCAAATGCATCCAAAGACTGGCCGATGGTGCTGAGCAAGTAGATTTCACCTAACATTTTCGGGGATATGGCTTTCTTTCATATTGATATTTACAGCAGTACGTACTGTTTGTTAGCTGAAGGCAGGAGGAGACTTAGGTAATTATCCCAGTCGGTATACGACACTCAGCCTTACACGTCCAAACCTTGTTTCCAAGCGTATGTTGTGCAACTGACTTCGTGCCGCCCAGCGTCAAAAATGACCATTTGGTCATTGATCGACGTTGTTTTGACGAATGGTGGTTTTGCGGAGAGCGATCGGAGCGCTGCGTTTTTCTCAACGCGGATTGGCGCCAGTGCCAGGTGGCACTGCCTCGTCCTTTAGCAGGCAGACTGACAAAGGGTCGACAAATCCTTCGCTTGTTCCACGAACCACATGTCACCCGCGTCTCGAATTCAAAATGGCTCCTCGTAAAACGTGTAATACCACCTATTCAGGACTGACGACCGACATACGTGCAGTCTTGGCACGGAAGATGGGCCGAAGAAGGCTCATTGGGAGAGTCTAATTGCCCAGAAGGTATAGCTCCATCTTGGAAGGGACTTTTAATGATCCTTCCCATTCTTCCATCTCAAGATCCTTTCGGGAAAGACAGGTTGAACACTTGTTGTTTATTCTCCGAATGCAATGATATGTCACTACCACCGAGGTGGCTCTTTTCCAGAACATGAAAATTATCTATGTAGAGGGAGTTTTGTTGAATGTGAAATGTTCTACTATATAGTATGTTACTTCAGAGCGTGTTGATGCCTGTATTGAGTCAACTGAGTTTCAGTTTCCTTATTTACCTTACTACACGACACTCTTGCTCTGTTGACAGACACGGTTGACGTTCATCAGTATGATCATCATCGTCCAAACATGACTCTTCAAATGAGCTGCTGTAGTTTGAAATGGCTCTCATATGTTAGAAGTGTCACTGCTAGCCTTACCATAATATGTGTCTGTCACTGAGGTCTGTAAAATGATATTTGCATTGTCTCATTGGGCAATAGAAGTTGCTCTGAAGATGGCTCCTCCAGTCGGGAGGTCTTCCAGAAGCTCTTGTGCCTGCACGCTTTGACAAGTCTTGGTGACTAAATCTGCGGCGTAGCAAATAAAACCAGTTGACGCTAGGCCAGATTCAACAGTGGAGGTGGAGCCGGCCACCTCCGACAGAGATATCATATCTCTCTGCATGAGTCGCGCCTATCAGCACCCACGCGGCTCTGAGATACGGGAGCTGCCACGGTCTGGATCCGGAGGCGATCGACAGCGGGTCTGCGCGCTGTGATAGGGGTCCAGCGGCTTCCTTGACAATGGATCTCGTTGACCAGTCATTATTAACACATAGGTAACGCGGATATATAATATAACATCCTCGTTTGCCCAATGGCGCTTCTCACCGGAAGCTGGACATTGTGCCTCACTCATTGCGAGCCTCAGTGAATCCGACCGGACTGACAATGGCTGCGTCGACTGCCGCCTCTTCCGAGAAAGTCGCTATGTCCAACGATGTTGTCGATGAGCCTCTTCCCGAGCAGGGACTAGTGGCTCAGGGCGGCTGGAGAGCCAAATGGCAGTACCTGAAATGGTACTCCACCAGTAAAGCTGGGTGGCTTGGCGATTATGCACGTCTAGCTCAATGTCTGTGAGAACCTCACTTGCTAACCTAATCATAGGACTATGTGTATCTTGTCACACCGAACATCTGGCCGCTCAATCGGAAGTACAAGGACTACAAGGCCCCTTTCTATGGTCTGAATGATGAGGTTCCCATTGTTCTGACCGTCATACTCGGTCTGCAACATGCCCTCTCCATGATTGGTTCAATCGTCAGCCCTCCTCTTGCCATTGCTGGCGGTGCCTTTTATATGAACTCGGCTCAAACGCAGTACCTCGTCTCAGCGGCCTTCATCTGCACTGGTATCGCGACCGCCCTTCAGGTGACACGGGTTCATCTGAAGAAGACTCCGTTCTTCATCGGGACAGGCCTACTCTCCGTAGTTGGCCCGACATTCGACATCTTACCTATCGCCTTCAACTACACTGCTATGCGTTACGAGAATGGCACTTGCCCAACCGCCGAGGACGGAACCCAACTGCCATGCCCGGATGCCTACGGTGCAATCCTGGGGACCATCTTGTGCACAGTTTGGGTGCAGATTCTCATGTCCTTTGTCCCGCCGAAGACATTGAACAGGATCTTCCCTAAGATTGTAACAGGTAGTTTGCTCTTGCTTGTTGGAGTCTACTTGATCAGCAATGGAATGCAAAATTGGGGCGGAAGCAGCAACTGCCATGACGGCACCGGCTACTACGCCCTCTGCCCCAATGTCGGTGCCCCGAAGCCTCTGAGCTGGGGTGACCCGAAGTTGATCGGTCTCGGTTTCAGCGTCTTTGTCTCGATCATTCTGGTGGAGCAGTTTGGATCACCGCTCATGAAGTCCTCCTCCGTCATCATTGGTCTTTTCGTCGGCTGCCTCATCTCGGGGTTGACTGGATACTGGGATCTTTCTAACATCCGGGCTGCGCCGGCTGTTACCTTCCTCTGGGTGCACACTTTCCACCTCTCTGTGGATGGCGCGCTCGTGCTACCTCTGCTGATCATGTTTGTTTGTGAAGCTGTCTCCTGCATGCCTGATATCCTTGCCACGGCTGAAATTAGCAACGTTGATATCGAGGGAACAGAGTTCAACTCCAGGATCCAGGGAGGCATTCTCTGTGATGGTCTGGGCAGTCTGATCAGCGCATTGGGAACTGGCCCGCCGATGGTGTCTCAGGCTGGAAACAACGGTGTTATTTCTTTGACTGGCTGTGCCTCCCGCCGGGCTGGTTGGTGTGCTGCCGCCTTCTTGATTCTCATGGGTATCTTTGGCAAGTTTGGTGCCGTCTTTGGCTCGATGCCGCCATCGGTGCTTGGAGGCATGCAGGTCTTCCTTTATTCCACCATTGCCGTTGCCGGTATCAGAGTCCTTGGTCTAGTGCCCTTCACGCGAAGGAACAGATTTATCCTCACTGCTAGGTAAGCCAATTATTGCTGATATGAACCTACGAAACTTACTGACACAATCCCAGCTTGGGTATTGGTTTCATGGATATTGTCCAACCAGACTGGTTCGGCCAGATCCTTGACTACAGTGGTGCCAACGTTCATCTGGCGGGTTTCGAGCAGGGCATCAACCTGATTGTTGAGACGCCGTTCATTGTCGCGGCTGTCATTGGAGTCTTCCTCAACCTGGTTCTGCCTAATGATTCAAGTGAGATGGATGACTGGATCAGAGATGCAGCGGGCCATCCCGTCCTCGACAAAGAGCACAGGGCTTAAAAACCCCGGATATGCGCTGTTACCCAAGTGCCCAATAGATTTATACGTAATTAATAGAGAAGCTTTGGGAGATCTATCATCATAAAAATGAATATGTTTGAACTACAACGAAAGGAGTTTCTGAGGAAGTAACATGTGAAGCACCTGCCTACCCCTGGCGCTAGCTCTTCAGCTAAGGCAGCTTACCTACCCCTGTTTACTAGCACGATAAGCTAGCTGCAGCTTCCGATAACGCCACTAACAACAGAGGGAGGTACCTACCTGCAGGCGCGACCTTGTTGCACACACTCCCAACCGACGCGTTTCATCGACTTCTGCCAGATGTAAATTGCAATTAAAAAGAACACAACTTCTCTATTCACCATCAACTTTCTTCCCCCTCGGCTGTGATCAATTACACTTGGCCACGCGCTCGCATATTTTACTGAAGGTTATTATCACCTCAGAGTTCAGCATCAATCAAGAACAAAGGCTCACGTCGCCTAGCAGAAGTATATCACCATGGCGCCAACCAAGCCGGCTGCCCGCCGAGGTCGCCTATCCAAGGCTGAAGCCGGTGCTGAGACGCAAGAAGACAAGGCAACTTCAGCTGCAAACGGGGCCGAGCCCGTCAAACGCCGCGGCCGACCTCCGAAGGAGGACGGAGCCAAAGTCACCAAGCCCAAGCCTAAGCCCAAGGCCACAGGTGGCACCGGCCGACCGCGTGGTCGCCCGCCTCTGGATCCCTCGCAGCGCAAGACGAAGCCCTATGTCCCGTCGGGGCGACCTCGCGGAAGACCACCGAAACCAAAGGCGACAGGCAAGCCTGGTCGGCCGCGCAAGTCTGATGCCGCCGCCATCAAGGAAGCCCTTCCCGAGAGCGATGACAAGGTGGAGGAGGAGGTAGAGGGGGAAGACGAGGAAGAGTATGCCGAGGCGGAGGGAGAGGAGTAAGCTGACGGAAGATCTTTCCATCACAGCTTTCATATCTCCATTTATTGCTATAAGACCGGGGAGGAATTTCATTTTATGGGAGATATTCGATACCTCGCAATATTTGATCATTGGACGGGCGGACTCAAGGGGGACTCGGCGTTGGAACTGGCTGGGCAATTGCTTTATTGCCCATGGATTACTCGATTGTACTCCTAAACTCGGATTATAACACTTGATTGCTAGTAAATACGGGCTCGAACTTCATCTAGGTCTCGGCAAGGAAATATGCTCTACCTTCAAGAGGAATATACTTGTTTTGCCATGGACGCAATTTGCTATACCTTTAAATATTCTTAATTGTGAAAACGAACGCCTTTATCTAGCGAAGTGAAGTCACTCTCTTAGACAAGCAAACCCTTAAACGCCTGTAGATGCTCCTTTACGACCGGACCGAAACACCTCGTGAGTTTTGATGATAGAACCGCGCCACATTAATTTCCAGCCTCATATTTCAGTGACGAGGAACAGTCACTCGCGTTTCCATTCCCCGAACTCGATCTCCAGGTGATCCTTCAGTTCCTTGAACTTATTCTTAAAGTCCCGTCCGCATCGCCAGCACACCATGCCCTGCTTCATGAACCCCTCATGCCCCGGATGGCGACGCGGGTCGTCCTCCGCCAACGGAAAGTCGGCTATGTCGACAAGAAACGGCGTGTTGAAGCTGTTGTAGTGCTTGCGATGCTTCAGGCAGGGGCTGTGCATGTCCCGCGAGAAGACGTGGACATGCAGGTGGCTCATACTCGGATGTGCATGTACGCCGACTTTAACCTCCGCCTCCCAGTCACGCCCTTCTGGCAGCCGCTCTGGATGCTCGAGGTCCGGCGGGTCCGCAGTCCCGTTCAGCACCGCCTCGCGGGCGGCATCTTGCTTGCTGTGTGGCCCGAACCGGCGCTGGAGCTCTTTGGCCACGAGAGTCTTGAGCTTGGCGGTCTCTGCCTCCACAGAAGCCAGGAAGGCGGCGTCCTCGAAAGCGTCGAATGGGTGCTCAAGATTATGCTGGTCTGACCGCGGAAGCAACAGGCAGTGCACCGATGCTTTCGGGTACAGGTCGTGGATGGCGACGAAGTCTGGCGTGTGGTAGATCACCCTGCTGGGCGGGAAGCCACCTGGATTTGCGATGTAAGCACCTAGGCCATCGCGGTCCTTGAAGACGCGGGCTACAGTATTTCCCTTAGAGTGTGTGGCCCCTGGCGACTTTGACTGCGGTTTGGGCTTTGCAGCCATCAGTTCAGTGACTAGAGGAGTCAACAGTTTGTCCAACATTTTGCCTTGATAACTGGGGCGCTTTGGATGGGGAGGTGATCGCAACTCACAGGCATTTCGAGGTTTTGCAGGCGGCGCCTGTGAGGCAGCTGGAACTTCCGTGCCCTGGATCTCCTCCTTTGTAATTGCCTCGTCTGAATCCGAATCTACTGGAGGCATGATGGAAGTCTCGTCTTAGTGGGAATTCTGAGAGCATGTAGTACTTGGAGAGCTGCCTGGCTTGTACATGTATGATGTAGGTTCTTGGAGCTTCGATGCCTGCAGCCCCGCCCCCACACAAGCTCCCTAATAGCTTCCAGGTAGAACTACCCCTATTTCACAGTCGTCAATAACCTTGAGATCATCACACTGTCAAATTCTGACATAAATCTATCTTCTTTGCCTTAAAAGCGATGGTATTCGTTTAAGTCATTTCGAAGCCAAGACCTTGGTGTCCTACATTTACAGTTCTATACCTACAGAAAGAAGCCAGTCTAATATACCATAGCAAAGTAAAACCAACGGTTCTTCGCATAACAGCTGTGTGCTTCGCACCACATTCGCAACAATGCTCCTCCTCATAGTCCATGAACTAGGTGCAGGGGCTGGTTCTTACGTCGCTCCTCAGCAGCCTCGGCGGCTAGGAAGCCCCTTACTGTCGGATCGTTTCGCAGACGGTCCTCGTCCACGGACCTCGAACGAACAACATGGCCAAAGAGGCAGTCCCACAGATCTCCTTTATCGACAGCTTCTCCGGCCGTCTTGCCCTTGCTCATGAGCTTGGAGAGCGACGCATGCTCCAGTTCTATGGAGTTCGCTGCTTCAAGGTTCACGTCTAGCAGCTCAGGGGTGGATTGTTTGGACTTCTCATTTTGAGTTCTGCCCATGTGTTCCATGCGGCGTTGCACAGAGAGATTGTAGATAGACTCCTCAACCGTTCCGTCGACAATGTACAGCCATACCGTCGTCTCCTGCTCCTGGCCGATACGGTGCACACGAGCGATGGCCTGCAGCTCTAGTGCCGTGTTCACAAGTGGTTCGCACAGGAAAACATGGCTGGCATTGACGAGATTCAATCCACTTGCATGCGCGCGTGCGTGTAGGAGGAAGCATTCAATGCCTGGATCTTCTTTAAATCGCGTAGGGCCATTTGGCTTGTCGAATGATGTGAACCCTATGCGGTAGCGACCGAATGCCATCGCAAGAACGTTCAAGAAGTCGTGGTACTGAGAGAAAATAATGGACTTGGATCCAGGATCTGATTCTCTGAGCCACAAAAGATGACGAACAAGATTGTCAATCTTCGTTGTGAAAGCAGGTCCATCCAGGTCAATGTTTTTGATCTCTTCAAGTTTCTCAGAACTGAACTCCGAATAGATGGTCGACTTCTTAGATCCTGGGCTGCGATGGGCATCTTGGGCGGAAGTTGGTCCAGCCATCTCAGTGTGTACTCTCAGTTCTTGCGGTTTCAAAGTAATGTCGTGAAGGTTAGAGGCTTGAAGACGTCGCTTGCAAACAGGACAGGTGTGATGGGCCTTAAACCAGAGCATAATACAGTCCTTGCAGAATTGATGGCCACAAACGGTCAAGACACCGACGGTGAAGGTGGACTGACAAATGACACACATTCTCTGCTCATCGGCCTTGGAATCAGCTTCCTTCAAATGTATTACTGGACACTCGTTAGTCAACAAAGCACCATTAATCAGAAAACGGATACATGAAACTCACGGTATCGGTGCTTGGATTCGGCTTGCCCAAGCTTTTTACGTAGCTGTTCCTCGTCTGCGATGAGAGCATTCATGGCAACATCAGTCTTCGGTCCACTGTAGGATTCCAGCATATCAGATACGGCCTGAAGTTGTCGGTAATACTCTACACGAGCATTCATAGCTGTTGTGAAGCGATCCATTTCTTGCTCTAAGGTAGTGGCCACTTTTTGTTGTTCAGTCAGTTGGTTCTGCGTAAGTTTCAACTGCTCGTGCACAATTTCGAGCTCTACCTTTGCTCTAGAATTGCCTAGCGATGCTTCATGTCTTAACTTAACAGACAAAGCTCGTAGTTTGGATACGATTCCTCTCAAGGACCCAAGCTCTCGAGGGGGTTTGACTTGATCACGGGTTTGTAAAAGTTCCAGAAGCTTTTCCGGGAATGGTCCAAGGCCATCCTTTGCTTGCCTCACAGACACTATTGTCTCGTGCCTCACAAGCTCATTGACCTGGCCAGACAGAGCATCCTGCCGGTCAGCAATGGTGGTGCGGACGGCCTGAACATACACAACAAGCTCCTCTTGTAGCTTTGTTGATTCTTCAAATTCTTCTCCCGTGATCTCTTTGTCCTGATCCTCCTCATCGACAAGCGGCTTCAGCAGAAGCTGTACAAGGTGCTCTCGCCAGTCATCGAGTTGATTAGCTTGATCGTTGAGCGCCTCTCCAAGATCTTGGAGCTCCTCTATGATAGAGCGGCTCTCTATTCCACTCTCGGGGAGGCTCTTGAACTCTGGAATCACCACAAAGGTCTGTCCTAACGCGGAGTCAGCAATGTCCTGCATCGACCGAGCAGCCTTGCGGTGGCTCTCCTTGAGGATTTCTTTGCGAAGCTTTTTCGCTAGATTATAGCCGTCGACTTCTAGTTTTTCCAGTTTTTGGAATTCTTCAGAATCTGGTTTCGTCCAGTCTTCGTTCACCTTTATCTGGTAATGCGCACTCGCGATGAAGAAAACGGCCTTGTGCTGAATTTCGAGCGCGGACCTGAGTCGCCTGCGGGCATCTCCAACCCGGCCAGCCATGGCTTCATCAAGGTCATCCTCGTCTTCGTCTTCCTGAGCCTGGGCATTGCTACTTTTCGCTGGTTGTGCCTGCTCTAGCTCAAGCTTGAGCTGATCGCGGCATTCTGACACAATTGAGTTACTGCTTTCCAGGACCTCCTCCCAGATAGCGAGGGCTTCCTTGACGCGCGGCGAATTCTCCAACAATTGCCCTCGTGTAAGCCTGATGGAAAGGAAAGCTCTTTGATCTGATCTCATGGAGATCTCGCTTTGTTCGATCATAGCCTCAAGGACTTCTGCTACCGTTCGCATCGGACCATTTCGATGGCCCAGTGCACGCCGGTTGCGATGGCCAACTTCTGGGTGTAACGCTGTCTGTCGTAATCGGTCCAGAGCAGTCCGCATCGCTTCAAGGACTGCGGGATCCTCTGGATCCCAATCCTCGGAGAGAGGTTCGCCCAGTGTGTTTAGCCCACAGGATTCCGCCATTTGCTCAAATAGGGTTTGGTAGTGCTGCTCTTCCACGGCGGTGAAAGGCATAGTGATGACATAGCGCTTCTGTGGTGGGATTGTAATCTCATTGCGAACAAGACGCTTGGTGTGCCGCATTGAAATTTGGCCGAAGAGCTCGCGGAAGGAGTCGGTATGGTGTCTGATCAAAGTCTGCCATGCCTGTGGGCTAGAGGCAAACGGCTCATACCTCAGAAACAATAGCAAACCACGAAGATCCTCAACGCTGTCCTTGACTGGTGTTCCCGTGACACCCCAAGCATTAACTCGTGGAATAATTCTTGCAACTGTGGCCGCCTTCGTTACGCCACTTTCGATCATTTGTGCCTCGTCAATGCATATTCGCCACCAAGAAAGTTGCGTCAAGGGGCTTTTGGGGCGATGATATTGCCTCGGCGCTCTTCTCGCTCGGTCAGGAGGTGGTATAGCAAAATCAAGCTCAGCTGTTAGAACATTGTAGGTTGTTACTACAACATCGTGAGTTGCGAGTTCTGTGATGAGCGCTTCCTCCGAGTCCTTGTCCTTTGCTGACTTTCCAATCCCGGTGTAGTACATAACACGCAATTGCGGTGCATGCCGGCTCAGCTCCGAAAGCCACTGATCCTTCAGGGCTTTTGGCGCGACAATTAGTGTGGCAGGAGTTGATCTGACCTGCTCTCCTGTATATGGATCCACCACAGCTGGAGGTTGGGCGGGACGGGTGTGAAGCAAAATTAGTCCAATAATTTCAACCGTCTTCCCCAGACCCATCTCCTCGGCAAGGATGCCGCCTCGTATTTGATCTTCCAATCTTTCAAATGGTGCAATATCCCGTGTAATAACGTTGAACAGCTGACTAACATAACAGATATTGCCATCCAAGTCCCTTGCTTCGATAAAAGAGGTGGGAAGCTTGGAGGCGTCTCTGTGAATTGGCTGAATATCGCCGTTTTCGCCAGTCGATCCTGGGCACCACTGAACACCCTCACGATTGAGAAGCCACTGCACGGCACGTGATTGAAAAGGATAGAGCTCACTACTTAAGTGTGGTATCTTGAGCGAGTTGTTTAACGAGTTGTGAGGATCCGGTACAAATGTCGATCCATAGAAAAGCTGTGGCGAAGTTTCATCCTGGCCATCGTCACTCTCCGTATAGATGTGGGGGAATGCAATTTGCAACATCTCTTCGCGAAAGCTTAACTTGTTCCTGGAGAGAGGAGATATTCCGGGAAAGTTGCTTGTATTCCATTTCACGTCAAACGTGAATGCCAAAGTATCACGAGTTCCATCTGAGCTGAGATCAACATCGGCTGATACCCATAAGACGCCCTGTTGTCCGGCATTGGACCATGACAGCTCTCGCTCACAAAGCATGGCCTCAAGCGCCATAGAGACATCTTTTCTAGGCAGTATTATCTCGACTTTCAGAGATCCAGTCGCGGGCGAGGCTTTCGAGGCAACCTCCAGGTTCAAAAAGCTGTGACTCGCACTACCAGGCCCAATCTCAGAAAGTGCGAACGTGAGATGAGAGCCGATGCTTCTCTTCTTAATTGGGATGCCGGCATAAGAATGCTTATTTGGAAAGTCGATGCTGATCTTGTCTCGGAAGATGATGACGGCCTCGCAGTCAGATGATATTCGGGGACGTTTAGCAGGTCGCGCACCCGTTGGATCGTCCTGGTCATCTTCTGTGGGGATTGATTGCAGAAAATCAACGAGAAACGATGGGATATGATCTATCATGAATATTAGCGAAAGGCTATTGCATGAAAAACAGGCTTAAGACAAACCTCCAGGCACCACGCGAGCTGCTTGGTCGAGGACTGACCTCGGGCGCGGTTTTGATCCTCGCATAGTGACGTTCGTGCGCCCCATCTTCACAAGATGTCGTAAATAGACTATAACATATTTATTGAGGTGACATTAGATTTGGTTCACCTATGCGAACAGTGATGGAAATAAGCCCCTCAAGCTAAAAGGTAGGGAGCCGTACTCAGCAAGGTGAGTCGTGTCGTAAATGTCAAGAGAATGGAAGGAAAGAAAGCTGCTGCAGCCTTGGATGGAGGGGTGTTATCGAAACTTATCGGCGGCGATAAGGCAAGGCTAACGCCCGGGACACCCCACCATGACAGCACTAGCGTGCATCGTGCCTAGCCAGACCACACGCTAGGAATTCAAGATAATCCGCTGCCGTGTCAGGTCTGTTTAGTGGAGTCTGTACTGAAGGTCAATTGGAAATTTTGGCGAGCTGTTCGAGGTAACCAGCGTTCACGAGAGGCTCGCAGTCTGTGCTGCTCGACGGTACACAAGCGAAAGTGGTATGTGAGTCCTTACAGAAGGTATGAACCTACTTTACTGACTTTTCATAGACTGCGATGAAGGCCTCAAGGATACAATCCGTCCTAGGCTCCGTCCTTCGACCAGCGGCGACACAGAACCAGCTGGGAGGAGTACGGTGGACACATAAGCAGTCTCAATCTTTCAAGGTTCCGACACCGATTCCCCTTGTGCCTGATGTCCCTACGTTCCTGACGGTCATCGGCCGTGGGCTCCGCCAACATGCTCCCAAGTTCCCAACTTGGGAAGCTCTTTTCGCCCTGACGTCAGCTCAAATGAAAGAACTCGGCATAGAGCCGGCGCGGTCCCGGAGGTACCTTCTGCAATGGCGGCGGAGGTTTCAAAATGGAGACTTCGGGGTTGGAGGCGATCTACGATATGTTGAGAATGGAACGGCGGAGCTTAAGGTCCTCGAGATCGAGAAGGATCCCCTGACACGCGTCAGGCACGTTGTGAATGTGCCCTCTGGCAAGAAAATTGAAGATTTGCCGGAGGAAGAGCGTGTGCCAGTCAGGAATTTTCACGTCCAAGGAACTCATACGGTCGCCGGACCATATGCAACCCCGCTGGAGGGCGGCCGAGGAGCTCAAATTACTGTGACTGAGGGCATGTGGGAAGACAGGAGGGGCCATAAAGTTGATGGTGGTGAACGAAGAAGAGCAGAAGTTCGGTTCAAGCGACGTGTTGCGGAACGAAAAGCCCAGAGGGATCGTCGCGGTTTTTGAAGAGCCTCCGTGACTCTAGCAACGAGGAGAGTTGAGCGAGCTTGTGTCGCAACTTCTGTATATTCGCAATGGTGCCTGTATACTACCAGATATATTCTATGTAACGATAAACCTCTCTGGCAAGCTTACAAGCGGTTAGAGTCTGTACCACTAGGATGGGGGATCATTATCTCAACAACCAACTACATGTCAAAAACATTCAGATTCATTTAGGACAAAGTTTGCTTAATTCTCACGTGTTGCAATCGTTAGATATCTAAAACCTTAATGGAAAGCGAATAATCGGCATATAGGAATGGACCACATCGAAGAGCTGTCCTACTTGTCAAGCATGCCTTTCTAGGTACCTAGGTAGCTTTCAGGTTCGCTGATCTAGAGATGCAGTCCCTGGCCTTATAACCAACCTCAATTCTTTATTTATCTTATTTTGCTCAAAAAGAACCCCCCTTTTTTCAAAGAGAGCTCGATCAGTAGCCCCATGAGCCAGAGAGGCTAGAGCATTGTCATGTCATCGATAACATTACTTTTCGGTAGATTGGCGTTTAAGTGTGAATAGCTTGTCTGAACATCCAGTGCATGGGTTTCAAAGCCCGAGCGACCTATAGGCTTTGGTTGACGATTGTTAGTTGGATGTTTAGTGCCATTTCGGGATCTGTCAGCAGTGACTAAGTCACAACCCCCAATGGCTTTACAAGCACTTCTAAGCAGCCCTTCCCACGAGGCGGCAGTGGCTTGCTGCACATCACTGAGCAAGATGCGAAGGAGCAGCGCGAACGGGAGATCCCTTTCCGGCATGCTGGGGATAAACAATGCATAACTCAAGCTGCCATAGGGCTGAGTGGTGTTTTTTGGGCGGACGTCACCCCCTAAGCCACGTTCTTAACGGACCGATGAGCACTGCACAAGCGGGTTTGTGGCATCAATCCGGCTGACAGTTCCGGCCGGAGATCCAAACGTCAAACTGGGGCGCGACTGCCGTGCTGCCCAGTATTTATATTCGAGTCGTCGCACCTGCTCGTTTTCCATGGACAAATACGACAACACTCACCACTGCAACCTCTGGCCCGACTCATCTTAGGCCTGACCTGAAGCATCCACGCGACTGGACCAGTTGACGTCAGCCTCTCGGACTCGCCGCGTCTGATAGTCGTCAACGGGCACGATGTCGAACTACACGGGAGCGGTGGTATTACGCGCGGCCTCAGGGACCTACAGCTAGCCAAAGTTGCTAGCTATAACAGAATTCAAGATGTCGTCACGCAGTACCCGGCCGAGAGGGAATTCGCGGACAAGAACGTCACCACCACCGGCACTGGCATGAACCACGACCCTGACGTCTGTAGTCTTTCCCCGGCCATCATCGTACCATCCTGGTTCGGTTCTTAGGGTCGTCCTACATGACCCGGCTGGAAGGCTTGGGCCAAACGACTGAGAAATCAATGTAAAGAACATTGGGCCGTGAACGAGGCGACAGTTCCGTCCATTGCAGGATCCTACTTGGTGGTCATACGAGCTTATAAGCACTTTTCAATGTGTGGCACTGAGCATCTCATTTTGGGATTCGACTGGCACCTCGAAAGTCCGCAACTAACTCTCGGAGCCGTGGCTATGGTCCGGGCAGATTCATGATGTTGCGCCAAGTTCAGCTGAGCTGGCGGGGTCGCCCCTGGCACACAGGTCACTCAGCAGCACTTCCTAGATGCAGGTCGGAATGACTCAACGTCCGACGGTGAAATCAGTCCAAGGGCCCCTGCCAAAAAGAAAAAAAAAGGAGCAACCATAACGGCTTGTCACTATGTTATGTGGTGCTCGTTATGTTGAAAATTTGACGAGATGGTTGCACGGGCCGCTGTCGCAGATGAGATTATGGCGGTGACTCAGAGCCTGAGACATTACTGGCCCTGGGGGACAAACGGACTTGGGGTGACCAAGTGACTCACGCTATCCCTCACACCAGAACGCCATTCCCGCAGCCAACACATGGGAATGTGGAGGGGCTCTCTGCTCAACGTTGGGACATACTGGACACGGCCCTCGGTACAGATTACGAAGTCTTGCGCACATCGATGTCTCTGATGGATCATCCTACACCCCAGTTGGATCCCCTATGAGGTATCACTTATCTTCACGCCAGTTTGAGGGTGGATTCCACTTTGCTAGCCTCCCCTCTTTTGTGAGTGATCCAATTATGGAGGGATCTTCATGGCGCACAGATATGTGATGAACAGCCTGTGCACGCGGCACGGCGTGCTTGCAAGTGTCTTAATTCTAAGTCCTGCA